TGTGTGTGTGTGTGTGTGTGTGTGAGAGAGAGAGAGTGAGTGAGTGAGTGAGAGTGAGAGAGAGAAACTAAGTCTCTAGACACTGTTGAGAAGATGAGGCAGGATGCCCTCATTGTTTAAAACAAAAGGAGCTCTCTGTGCCACAGAATAAAATATCCAAGGTTCACACAAACACACACACACTTTCATTTGCCTCTGTCTGTGTGTGTGTGTTGTTAAAACATCAATATTGCAGCTTTCTGCCAAACCGCTGCTTAAATAGAAATGAAATGTAAATAAGACTGATGTGATCAGACAGCACATGACAAAAGACCGAGAAATGTGTAGGTTCTTAAAGATTTCAAGGTGTACGCGAGTAATAAGAGTTTTTGAGGGGCATCTATAGCAAGCAGGTAACCTAGATAAACAATGTTTCAAACACACACACACACACACCTTCAGGCCAAACTCCTACTAAAACTCACTTGGGGTTGGAGCTATTCCAGTAAACAGCGTGTCTGTCAAATATGATCTTCTCCTCCGCCCACACGGACACCCAAGACAGGATGGCCAGCAACACCACCTCCATCACACACTTCTGCCCGAGCTGGCACAACATCATAGACATCTAGGGGGGAGTCTTTTATTTCTAACTGATATCAGGCTTTCACTGCGCTGCTGCTGCTCCAGAAATCCTTTCTAGATCATCAATGTCCTTCTGCGCGTCTTTTGATAAAATCGGCTCGGCGGTTAACTGGCTTGATGCTTGAAGTTCCGATAACCTCGGGGGTGTTTCAAGTCATACTGAATGTTTGAAATTCACTCTCAAACTTGGCCAATTGCGTATAAAACAGAAGAATTCACATGGTATTTACGAAAGCGTCGTCGTCGACAGGATGCTGCTGGTGCGTCTCCTCTGCAAGGTCCGAAAGTTTTCTCCCATTACGCGCAGCCGGAGAGAGAGATGCGCTACCTGGATTAGGTCCTGTCTCTCGCTCGTTCGCTCTCTTTCTCTCCCTTTTCAGAAAAATGGTAATCAGACTCCAGAATTCATCCGAGGTTTACAATTCTGTCGGTGATATCGTAGCTCATCAGCAGACCTAAGACAACGCCAGAACCGGCCGTCATATTTGTTTACCCAGATTTCTGCTGCGCCTGGCGCACCTTTGTTCCGCTTGTTCCACGGTGCAAATCTCTTTGCAGCCTAAAACTGCATCCACTTGACCTTTTCTCTTATTGCAGTTCAAGAAAATGCATTCCGCACACAAAAGCGCGCTCCTTTTCGCTATTTTTTGCTCAAACTTGTCACAAAATAACATTTGCAAGACGGGAGCATCCTTGTTAAACAACCGTAAGCTCTCACGGCGTGTCAACTTGGTGATCCCTCCGCTGCCACTGGCTCCAATCCAACGTAACTCCAGTTACTGCGCGTCTTTCCGTGCGTCACGCTGACCGGCGCAGGCAGGGAGCCGTCGATGATTACAGCTTTAATCCCAACACGCTCCCGTGCAACCTCCACCTATAGCGGCAACATCACTCAGAGGTACCCCGACTCGGTATAAGTAACCCCCACCCCCTCTCTCCATCTCCCGCTCGCTTTTCTTTCTGAGCGGGCGGGGTCTGGAGCCGTGCTGTGCTGCGCTCCCTCTGGGGACTCGTGGCTGGCTGACTCACTGCGCCCTGGCCATATTCAGCCGGAGATGTATAGTGGAAAGTCTGAAGTCACTTAAACGCTTCATTCTAGGTAGTTAAATTACTTTTTATTGTGACACGAATTCGAAATCTTTGTATAAATAGTTGACATTAAGATCCCCCCCATAGGGTTAAGGTAAATTATAGCTGAAGTTGACTGTTATTTTTCACCACAATCATCAATTTGACTAAAGACTGTTTGTTTGCATCTTATCGGGGCATGTAAATCGCCCACGAAGTTCACTGTTTGAAAGCCGCTCTCTGATGAATGGAGAGCGAAAGAGGGCGTCTGATGGATCGCTGGAACAGTGGAGTCATTTTCCATCAGTGTCCATTAGGCCCAAATGGCAAGCGGAGGCAGCACAGAGTCTAAAACCTGTGAGCCATAAACCTCCAGATAGCTGTTTGACAGAGCCCTGCCACCCCTGATGCCTCTGTCCTGCGAGAATGTGCAGACTACTCTGCGAAAAACGTATCCATCGCAGGTACTTAGTCTCCCCCCAAAGGAAGACGAAATAGTAACTACACTTGTGGTTCCCGCAAAGCGCTCCATGCGTTTTCGAACACGTGTTGATAAGACTATGTTGTGCAAAATGAGCTCCAGCGAGGATCAATCCAGTCTCAACAAAATGAGAATTGATTGCAGAAAACAGTTTTCAACAATTTCATTTGCATTCTTTAGAAGGGCATTACCACGTTAAGAAAATGAAAGGAAAGAAATACAATTTGCAGAATCACGAGCGAGTAAAAGGGTTTTCAAGAGCGACCTCTAACCAACTTTGATGTTCCTACAAAAGACAGTTTCCCCCAAATCAAACCCAAATTACTTGTTCCAAACTTCCCAAACCTAAAAAGGCCCTGTTATATTAAGTCCAAGCTTTCTACTGCTCCATCCTTCACATCTCATTGTGCCTCTTGGTTGGACCCTTTATGCAAAGTGGCCTAGTTTTTCCTCTGCCCTGCTCTGCCTGCAAAGTAATGTCTGTAATTTGGGCTTCAAATTCAGGCAGGGAGAGAACCCATGAACCCCCATAACCCAAATACAGCTGCATGTTGTCCGCCTCTGTGTATGAATTATTCAACATCTGTCTGAGGCGTGCATATGTAAACAGGTGGATAGTCTCCTGATGGCTTTCTTAAGAGGAAACACTATAGACCAAAGACATCCTTCACCTCAGTTTCATACTTTTCCTCCTCAACTGTTACACTCTTAATGCGAGTCTAAAGCTCATGTAAGTGATACAGACTAAACAGTGTTGAGTTGATTCTGATATTACAGCCTCTTAGGTGAACCTAAATCTAAGAGTGTTGGTCAGAGAGTCAGCATAAGGGTGCATGCCTCCTTAATGTGGTGTTAAATCCTAGAATATATTGCTGGTTAAGCTTGTGATTGCACTGCAGTTTAACTCTACTCAAGAGAAATAAATTATAGACATGAGTAAGCTCCAAGATTCGAAAATCCAATGTGTTTTCAAATGGTTCATTCACAAACCAGCCATTCAAATTCAGCGTTTTCCTGACTTAAATGGCTGCTTTAGGGATTGAAAATGTCAGAAATTGTATACAGAACAGCTCCTTGAACCACTTGTCCACCCTGCCCCCATTCATTAAGCATGAGGTTTTCATTTGTGTGTGGCCTTTATGTTTGCCAGGGCGTGCTTGATTAGAGACCGCAGCACTAATGTAAATAAATGTTGCCAGATGTGGTTGAATTACTACGCCACATGGTTTCATTTAGTCCCATGCACATGGGCACTGGCGGGATCAAGCAAGGGACACCCCAAGGGTCTGTATTTGGGAAACAAATGGGAGGGCAGGTGGGGTATGATTACACAAATTGTACACTTATGTTTAAAGTGCACATGCAGTGCACTTTCTGTGTGCTTTAGACAGTGCAAAGGAGTTGAGCAGTAAAAAAAATAAATAAATAAAGGCCTTCTTTGGTGTCGAGTAACTTGTGAATCAGAGCAATCTTGGAACAAAAATGTTCTGCATGAAAGTTTAAAATTAGATCAAAGCACCATATTCTGTGAGCTAAGAACATTACGTATCTACATTTGGATCATCTTACTTTGAGTTACCCTTCCACCCAAGTATGTAATGTCTTCGTGTTTCTGTATATTCCAAAGAGGTTTCTGTGCACACAGGTCTCTGCTTCAAATTAGTCTTAGTAGAGAGTGAAATGGAAAGATGCTGCAAGCAAACTAAAGTCTCTGAGGCAGCATCAAAAACATAGGTGAACATTAAACGTGAGATTTGTTGCAATTTTTAATGACTTTAAACATGAAAATGCACGTTTGGGCTAACACCACCTTAGTTCAGCATGCCAAAATATCATGCAGATTTTTCCCATTTTGGCTGTGCTCATCAAATATTCTGACTGACATCTTTCTTCAATATGACCTTCAAGGCATGCTTTTCTGCACAATGTAATGGCACGGGAAAAATGAGCGTGAAATTCAAACCAAGCCGGAGCTCGCTATATTTACGATTGCACTCGATGAGCTGCTGGCTCTATACAACAAAATCCAGGTCTCAGCCACAAATACACACCACTGGGCTCAGTTCTATTCTCATTTGTCGTCCCCCCCCCAAAGGCAAGGAAGAGCTGAGGTTAATCCTCTCCACTGCTCTGTAAGGAAGTAGTAGAAGAAAAAGGAGGATAGCGAGACAAGGAGGGAAAAAAAAAAGGATATAATGCCAGAAAGCCATGGGAAGCACTTGAGATTAAGCCACTAACTATTGACATTGTGTGAGTGGCAGGTAAAGTCACCTCTGTTCAGAAACCTTTGATCACCACCAGAGAACAATACCTCCCCCTAGTGGCCAAAAAGGTGTACACCTAAAATTACTCACAGGGGTTTGGGGTTCACCTCTCCTCACATCCCAGGGCACCTCTGATAAAACATGGATGCCAGATATACTGGGCAGCTATACTCCAGTTTTTTCTTAATCATTAACTTTATGAGATACAGTACCATGGTTTCCACAGCAACACCCCTCCTTCCCGAGTTACACCCGCTAAACTTCAAAAGGTCAAACGAGAGCACAGGAGGATTACTCTGAATCAGTGAGAATAGTGAGTATCCAGCACTGCATCCCCAATTAACTCACCACAGTTTCATCAAGGAATTGTAACAGGATTGCGCTGAGTCCAGATGAGCAGTCAGTCAAGTTTAGATGGGATGAGTATGAAGCTGGAAACGCAGTAAAGGACAAAATACAACCCACCAGCAGTAAACAGGATGAGAAATGTTGAAAATGTTACAAGATGTTAACCGGTACAGAAGGAAAGCGAGGAAGAGACAGAAACCAAATGAGGCCAGATGAAAGAAAGAACAAACTAAAGATTTATTGAAGGCAGCAGAAGATGCAAGAGACAAGATCAGAATGGCAAGGGGGAGTGGGGCACATACAGAGACACTTCTGTGTTCATATAGGTTTAATGTCTTTGTGTTACAAAAGTTTTTTTTTTTCTGTTTTACAGCTCAGGAGAGCTTAATAGGTCTGTGCTGTTTTATCAAAATATACATGTTTTGAACGTATGTGGATATACTCCAAATGATTTTGTGGTACAAAAACATGAATATATACAACCATCAACCCCCTTCATACAATACCCCCACCCCCAGGCCCCATATAAAAAAAGAAAAGAGAAAAGTAAAAGCTTTTAACAAAATTGAAAGGCATACAATTTTTCTACACAACATCACAGCTAGGACTGCGGTTCAATTAAGTATTCATTCTAAGCAATCTCTACCAAAGTAGGCTCTTTGTAAAGTCAATCAAACAAAAGGGGTACAATATACAGTATATGTTGTTAATCAAAAGACAATTTAAATTAATGTGACTTTTTCCAAAGCATCTGAGGAATAGAACTTGGAACTGCCTCGTATTTGTTGTAACGTGGGGGTGAAAGACGAGACAAAAAAAATAAAAAATACTCCTAAGAAATCAGAACGCTACAAAACAGCAGGGGTAGAACATACTTTGGTCCTTAACAGCAATAACCGTCTGCAGCTACATGAAGCTTTGTTAAATCATGCATAAGAATCTTACAAAAATAGAGAGAGCACATCTGTATCTGGTCCAAGACAACAGTGGTCAAGGCTGTGGAAACTGGTGCTTGAGGCACACAGGAATGTGACAACGTGTAAGACTTCAGCGTGGTGGATCTATTGTTGAGAAAAAAGTGCACTAAACGCACCTGACTGTGGCATAAGTGTACACCGACAGGGTACTGGGTGAGGACTCTCTCACCCTGCAATTCTGGTATCATAAATTTAAGGGGAAAAAAAAAAAAAAAGATATACTGGGATTTCAAACACCATTCAAGACTGTTATTACCATCAATTGACAAGTGAGTCAGAGCTGCCCTCTCACAGGTACGATTACCTGAATATAATGGGATAAAGGCATCTTTGTAGACAGGCTAAGATACAAACACCTGAATGAGAGGTAAACAAAATCAACTAATCGTGCCCGTTTCAGCCTTAAATTAAAAACTTAAGGAGTCAAGGCACTGAGATAGCAATCAAACCCAGCTACTACAAATAGCTATCAGTTAAGCTTAGAAGTGATACAAGTAAATTTTAACATTTAAAAGAGATAAATGAATATATGTGTCCACATATATTTATATATATATATATGAACGTAATGTGGTTAAATGAGGCTCCAAACAACTGTCCTGAGGACTAAGTGATAGGAGACTGTAAGACAAAAAGGCTGAATACAGCTCTACACCTGCAACAATACACCTAACAGAGCTACATCACCTAGCAAGGATATTAAGCATCTAACTGACTTACATTCATAGTTTCTAGATACATATAATGGGGCTATATGCATACAGAGATAAACATTTGTTTTTTTTAAACAAGAAACAGAAGATTAAATGAGCCACTTTTCCCCATTTTAACAATGCTGGTACAAACCAAAGGACAAAAAAATAAAATAAAAATTGAGAGCCATATATTACCAAATTAAGCCAGAGCAAATCTATCTGGAACAAATTCAAAGTAAGGCACAAGACTGTAGAGAGAAAGACAGCGAAAGAATGCATTCAACCAGACCTCTTTCATAGCAGTGATGTTGTTATGAAATAGGAGGGTGTTGTTAATCACATTAACTGTGGCTCTGCACTTAAACCTTCATTAATATCATTAGTAACACTTGTGTTTACTTCCATTTCACATAAAACAGCTGCTGTGAAACAGGACTATTGAATAACCTTTGATAGTGGTATGGATCCCCAGAAGTAAATAGGTGGAAAGTCACACAGTAAAATAAAAATGGATGCTGGGAAATAAGTTTTATGGTCTCCGAGTCAAAACTTAATCCTTTGTCTCAAACCGTTTCTCACTGGCCAAACAGGTTCTAAGTGGCATTTCAAAAAGGCAAACACACACACGTATCTCAACACAACTACTGTAATAAAAAGGAATGCTGAAGTGTGTCTGGTGCGGATACAATTCATCCACATAAGCATACATCTGTGGCGGAGGGTGTTTAAGTGATTTGGTCTTAAAAGGACAGTTCAACAGCTGCCTCTACTTTACCTCCAATTTAAAAAGAAAAAGAAAATACAAACATGTTTCATTGTAGAATGTTGCCTCTTTCCCAGGACCCCATATGCAAACTTATGGTGGGGGGAAAAATTATTAAATGTTAGACTGGATTTGATCCCGACCTCCTAATAAAGCTTTTATCAAGTTTTAGATGAATTGTTTCATTTGCAAGAATGCATGAGTTTCCATTGTTACAAAAGTTAGCAAGTGTAACAAAGCTTAAAGGACAACGCGATAAGCCCCTTTCAGACATGCAATCCCTTCCAATAATCTGACAGCATCCAAAGGTGTCGGGTTTGTGCTAAATGAACACCCTAGCCACTTAACCTACAAAAGCTGTGACAGCACTCTTACTAGGTTGGACCTTATGTAAGACTTTCAGCACACGAGCGCGTGCAGTCACAGCATTATCACTGTGCATGTCTCTAGTACATCTGTTAGATGCACAGCTCACTAGAGAATGCCTTAAACAGCAATAATGTAGATAGTAACATTTTGCATATTTGAAACATCTATGAGAGATCTCTGAGTGTCTGTGGGAGGAGCGGTGTGCAGTCCTATGATCAGCATTGTGCAACAAACACACCCTGCTCTTAGTGACAATGGCAGAAAGAATATTCCAAAGTGCGGTTACACCTCACTGGCATTGCTACTGACAGTACTTGTTCACACAAGTCTTTTGCAGGTATTGTGGCTCTCTCCGTCATTGTTGTGGATTTGTGAGAACGAACGCTACAGTTTAAGCAAGGAGTCTCTAAATGACAGAATGCTGTCAGATAAACAGATAAATTAAACGGGCAATGTTTAGTAACTCATGAAAGGATGCAAAGGATGAAAAGTCAATAGCTCTACGGAAGTCATCTACCAGTTTATGTCAGTCATTTTTCTACACTTTAATTTAAAAAGCTTTGACATCAACTTAAGACTTTACAACATCAACCTAAGACTTTACAACCTCAACCAACAAAAAATTAAGTTGTCCCCCCCCATTTTCTTAAGCTTAGAAGAGAATCACAATGAATAAACAATGTTGAACCTATTAATGACGGTGAATGATTTGTTGTGAAAGGGGCAACATTCATCAAAGAAACAGCTATAAATAGGTAATGGTGGCCATTTCCACTGAATGCAACCTCAAGAGTGGTATCATTCAGATGGCAACAGACTTGGAGGATGAAAGGAAAGGCACTCAGATGGTGGACTTGGAGAAGGACACTCGAAGATGGTGGTTTTCCCCCAGATCATGGTTGTGGAACTCGATGAGGGACTCTATTGCCTCCTCGACTGAGCCCATCTGAATCAGAGCCATCTTGCGATCTTTTCTGTTAAAGTAAAATAAAAAAATAAAAAAAATTTGAACAATTTGTTCTCAAAGTGTAAGATCCAGCGCACTTGTGTGTGGGTTTTTCACCATTTGCTTTGTTGTACTCTCAAAACTAGGTTTAGTTCATGTGTCTATCAGACTAAAAAGGCCAACACTTTACAACCTTAATTTAAAGCAGGCAATTTAACCAAGAGCTGCTGTAGAGTGTTCTGAAGAAAGAAGAACTCAGCCGCAAAAAACAAACAATTTGAGAAAATTGGGTTTAAATGGACTAAAACTTACTGAAAGAACTTGAAGGCCTTGACTGTTGCTCCTGAGCTGGCAAATAGCCTCCTGAGATCATCCTCCACCACAGAAGGCCTGAAAGCAAAACAGCAGAGAAGTTAAAAAGCTTTGTAGGTTTATGTTTGTTTACTAAGCTGCAGGTTTCTGTGTCTGAAGTTGTAAAACAACAAGGCATGATTAAATATAAAAACCACCCCCTCCTCCACATACTGAGAAATAATGTCACGAACACCTGAAGGAAAAAGCTTACTGTGCAAAAGGTTGCTGGGTTAGAGCAGAAATGACGCCAAGGTTAACACTCACGGTATGTTGGAGAGGTGGAGTGTTGCAGAGGGTGGAAAAATGTTGGAGTAGTTTTTGGAGCCAGGCTTCTTAAAACGGTGCAGTGGAGAGTTGCTGAAATCCTTTGTGAGGCCCTGGTCCTCGTGGCCTTCTCTGGGAAGCTGCACTGTTGTGTGTTTTGACAACGTCACACGCATGGCCCTGCCATGAAGACGCTGGCCATTCAGGTGGCTCATAGCTGAAAAACACAAGTCACATAAACATGGTTTCAACACACTATTTTCAAGTTGTCTATCAAATTTGTTAGCACATTCTCCATCACTTAATTTAACTCTAAACAGCCACAACAATAAGCAGATAATCAGCCATCTATCACAGGAGGAGCTAAATTACCCTTCTAAGCAAAGGCTCCAAACAATGCACAGTATAATAATGTGAGGAGGAAAAAAAGAAAAAAAAAGATGAAAGTGGTAGATCAAAGACAGAAAATTGTGTTTTGTAGGGCTGCAGCGTCGCTACCTAGTTGAGCCTGTGTGCCATCAGACATCTGGATTAGAGCATTCTCCTTTTTATTGAACAGGATCTTCACTCTCATCACATCGCCATACACACCTAAGGAGGAAGGGGAAAAGCATCACAATGCAAGTCCAGCAAATGCTACACGCATCATGCCTAAACCAGGAGCCACACAGTCAATCACAGCAACAACAACAATTTAAACCATCAAATCAGATATAAATAGTCACACTAAGCCTAAGGAAACAGTGTGATTGAAGTTACCGTTAGGCTATTCTAGAATCTTTACGTTCAATTCTGCATGGGTGTCCTGTAACCATTCCTACATAAGCCCTCTTAAAACTAACTACACATGGATGCTAAAATGCCTTAAGAGGGGAGAAATCGTGATTTGAAGACAAAAATCAAAGATTAGTAAAATGAGTAGTAGTGATCAATTTGATTGCTCTACTGTGAAGATAGAGTTGATTACTTCCCAAACTTGAGGGTCTAAACAGAGACATGCAGAAATAATCTAAACATGCACATACCTACATTTGAATAACTGAGAAAAACTGCAAGAGAATAAAACTGTGACATAATCCTGAGATTATGTCAACCCATAATCACAAAAAAAGCTGCAGCATTTCATCATTCTAGTGCAGCAGAGAGAGAGAATCACTGAAAAACAATCAGCATGTAAAAATGAAATTTGACCACTTTTTATGGCTAAATTTGGCTGGTGCAGAACCAGTAAAGGTTTGACTTTTATCCTCTTCTTTATGGTGATGCTTTAAAATTTAGATCGGCCTCCTGCCTCGTTGCCAAACAAAATCATTCCCACATTTCTATTTAGCGGGGCAATATTTACATTGAAGGGCTTTGCTCTTTGAAGATGGGAAAAGTGCAAATGTTTTTTGCCCATGGACAAGTATCATAGCTTTTAAAAATTAAATGAAATGCTGCAGCTTTGTGGCATTCTCACCATACTTTTCTCACACAAACCCACAACAACCAAAACAGGTCATACAAACCCTCAAACAGACACCCCCACCCGCCATAGCCCTGTACTCTGATGATGAGCCATCAGTGGTTAAAAATAAATAAAAGCCAACAACATGAGACAAGACATGCCCACCTTGCCAGGTAACAGTAGTAATAAAAAAAGGAGATGAAAGGATGATAACGTACCGAAAAGAATAAAGAGGCAGTGTGGCGTAACGCTCTTTAGAGACAGCAGGAGGGAGCAGCGGGGCAGGGGGCCAAAAAGGGGAGAGGGAACAGGGGACAGGGGAAAAGAGACGGAGCGGAGTGGAGGACAGTGGAGTGGAGTCGGGACATGTCCGCAGGCCACAGGCAGCGAGGTCCACAGGAAGGCCACAGTACCATGGAGGAAGGAGAGGCATGAGGGACGAAGAGAATGAAGAGAGGAGAAGGATTTGAATAGCATAAGAGGATGAAGAGAAATGTGAGGATGGGGGGGAAGAAAGATGATGGAGAGGTAGATCATGGCAAAAAAATAAAATAAAATAAAATGAAAATCAGGGTGTCAAAGAGGTGCCAATGTAGTGTATGCGTTTTCAATTTGTGGTGGTGGTGGGGGATTTCCAAATTAGGGATAATGGTAAGGGGAAGGAAAAAGGGTTGGGTGGATGGAAGGAGGTGGTTACAGTAGTAATAACAGAGGAGTGACAGGAGGAGAGAGGGAACAATTGGTCATGGGGCGTGCAGTCAGTTGGCAAGATTTAAAGTGAGGGGTTAAAAAAAAAAAACAAAAAAAAAAAATAAGGGATTAGGGGGACAGAAAGGAGAGAGAGAAAAGGAAGTAAAAAAACAAAACAAGGTCAGTATACACAAAGAAATGTAGTGCTTCAGACAGTAGAACTGGCTAAATTAAAATGCACTGTCACTATGGGAACACTAGGAGAAAGAGAAGAGAAAAAAAGATTAACAATGAAATACAGGAAAAAAGGCAGAGACAATATGTACTTTTAAATTAAATGTCATGTTTGTTTAGATTACGTAGAGAATGATATAAAACAAAATTCTGAGCATCAATTTTAATAATTCTCGAAGAACTTAAACAGAATCCTTAAATAACCAAACTAAGTGTATTGACTACATTAACTACAGTAAATGTAATGAGCTTAAAGACTACTTGTATATTTATACACTATTAACGAGAATAATGTACATGATGTGTTGCTTTAAAACAAGACCAAAAAAGTAATATTGTCTCCCCAACAACTCAAGAATGATTTTAACTAATGGACAAAAATGAAGATATGAAATGGTAAGTTTTCTTTAAAGAAAACACAAAAAAAAGAAGTTAGTTTTTTGAATAAACTTAAAATTCACAGTGAGCAAAGTGGCAGGGCAGAAACGCAGCAGGTTTGGTCAAACACAGAGAGGTCCTGAAAGGGAAGAGGTTTTGACTTAATGACCCCCTTGCAATTAAAAATAGTGGTAAGGGTAGTTCCTCGTGCAATCACGTGAAGTGGTAAGACATGAGGCGTAAAAACATTCGTTTCATTTGATCAAGTGGATCCACAAGCCAAAGTGTAAACAAAAGGCAATGTAACTGTTGAATGAAGCTCAGCACTGAACTAAAACAAAAGCAAAGGTAGTAGAGCTGTTTAATAGCATGTGTACTGACCTCAGGGTTCAGATTGCTGACCAACAAGACATTGTGGCCCCCAGCGGCAGCAAGCCCTGACAGGCCGAGCCGGCTAGCGGCCGCTGCTGCCGCCGCCATGCCAGTGTGGCCCACACCGAGGGACGCCAAGGCACTAGGAATACCGGGTACTGAGAGACCTAAGAGCAGTAAACCACAAATTACTCTCAACTCAATGCAATCCGTAGATAAAAACCTGAGAAATAATTTAATCATGAAGATTATCTGCTATATGTACATCTGAATAAACTACTGAAATACAGACATTCGAATCAGAATAGCAGGAAATATATTTTTTTGTACTGACCTGCCTGCTGAATAGCAAAGGTTGGGGGGAAGGCATGAGCGCCACCATAGGGAGAGGCTGAGATTATACCTGGTGCAGCTATAACAACAAGATATAGAAGTAAGATTTTTTTTTTTTATTAATATAAATTAAAAGAATGACAGTGAAGTAAATCCTGCGAATTCTAATTCAAAAAAAGAATGGACTACATTCTTACCAAACGCAGCTGCTGCCATGGCCTGGTGGTCAATGGAGGGCTGTGAATCTGCATTTGGAAGGTCTGGTCGGGTGTAGTCCCTGCTCTTGTCGTTGTTGTACTTGACGTTGAGGCTGGTAAGCTTGGAGAAGCTGATTCTCAGAGTACAGCAAGCATTGTAGATGTTTTGTCCATCCAGAGACTAAAGAAAACAGCGTTCTGTTAAACTTGAGATAACATATCTGGTGTGTTTTTACAGTGGCGAGTTTAACTAGTGACGTCTGAGCGACTGTTCCCAAAGTGTACTAACTGCCCTATAATGATATTGCTTTGTTTCAAAATGTCCTAATCTTAGTCCCATGCTGACAAAAAAAGTGAACCAATCGTACCATCTTGGAATGCTGCGCTGTCATGGCATCAGCATACTGGATGAGAGCCTGGAACTGGTTGTTCTTGGTAAAAGTGATGATCTTCAGCACTGTACCAAATTTAGAGAAAATCTGCAGGAGAGACACGATTATAAAGGTCATAATTTTAACACACCTAAAATAAATAAGAACTGCAAAACAGCTTTAGACTTTAGTGCTAGACAATGAGTGGTCAAATCAGTAGCTATACAGCTAAGATTTGAGGGATGTTTTTTGTTTTTTTAAGGTGGGGCATGCCCAGACTAGTTACTTAAAACATCTCTGACCAGTCAAAAAAAAAACAAAAAAAAAACTGTAGTAGCTGCCTTTACCTGGTGGAGTACATCCAGGGTAACAGGATAGAAGAGGTTTTCCACTATGACCCTGAGCACAGGGCTTTGGGCTGACACTGCTCCAGCCATGCTACCAGCATCAGCAGAAATGGCCACACTTCCCATTCCTCCTCCATGAAGGGCATTAACTGCCTGCAGAGCTGCCTGGGCACGCTAAGGAGAAACAGAAATACTTCTCAGCATCAGTGGTGAAAGGATAGTACCACCGAGTGAATGTGTGCAGCATAATGTTGTAAAACAAAACAATATTTTTAACAAATGTAAATAAGTTATTCAATATGCATTTTTTCAGTATGGAGCCAAAACTTGAATCCCAGCATCAAGCAATAAATTAAACAGCTGATGAAGCCTCAAATGCAAACCATTAAAATAAATATAAAGTGCACAGATCTGTGCCGCTGCTATAAAACCCTTACCACTTGGTTTGGGGAGTTGTCCGTCTTGAGCTCTTTGTGGGTCGAGTACTGCATGTAAATGGGGTGGTTTCTGATGACAGGGGTAACAGAGGAGTAGTAGCTCACCATCGTCTGTGCACACTCCTCGCTGTTCAGTTCCAAGAATGCCTGGGACATAAACATACTTATTTTGTTTATCCCATCACATACAACAAAGGTGACACCCTAATGCAACAAATTTAACATTCTTATCGATTCTTTTTATCTGTTATTAACCATTATAAATAACACAATTAACATGGTTACAGTATTACTGGTTATAGAACTACTTCAAACAGAAAACAGGTGTTTCGTGATCTGCTGTATTCCTCCAGGAAATCTTAACATCAAGCAGTGTCTATCTACCAACAAAGTCACAAGGATGTAACAAAAGGGTCATTGTTATAATTTTAGGTCAGGACAGAAGGATAGAAAGCTGATCCCTCGGCTCAGGCCTGGGAAAAAAATAATTCAACCAAAACTGCAAGTCATACAGTTTGGTAAGCAGACAGGCAACCATCTTTCCTACCTGGTTTTTCCCTTTCAGCATCAGCAGATTAGTGACCTTCCCAAAGGGCAGCCCCAGGCCAATAACTTCAGCCTCATTTATGTCGTTGGGCAGCTTGCGTACATGGACCACACGTGATGGAACACCAGGACTGCGGACGTCACCTTTGAATTTTTTGCTGTCGTTGCCATTGGCTGCAAGAGAAAACAGAAGCAGATACAATCAGGGAGGGAACAGGAGGCTCCGGTTCTTCCTGAATAATGGATTGATAACCATGGTAACACAAACACGTCAAGCACTTCAATAAAAAGGGGATTCACCCCTCCATGGCAACCCCCTACCTGAGTTCATGATATAGGGTCCGTTGGATATGCAGGAAGAAAAGAGTTCGTCGGATCCCCTCTGCAGAAGGAAAGGAAACAATGGTTCACTTCAGTGCGTTCACCCAATGAAGGCACAGCTTGGCAGGTGGAGAGCACGGTTCTCACATTACTAAGCTATTGTGTGATAAAGCAGGAAGTAATCTGATAACCAAAAGAGAACTGAGCAAACACACTTGAGAAGAACTCCACCTTCCTCACTAGGAGGAATCCAGTGAACTATCATGTCAGCAGGAATATCTGACTTCCCATTCCATTAAACGCCTTTTACAGTATTGTCAAACCTCAAGCTACTGTAACAATAGGCCATATTTTTGAGACAATGTGCAATAAAACACAATTATGCATAGCACGTTTAAGTTGGAACAGGTAGTTTTCAGCTTGAAGGACAATATTCAGTCAGGTTTTGGCCAAATAGCTGTCGGTGAGTACATCCCATCTTCTCATAATCCATCAGGAGCAGGGATAACACACTGAAGCCCTTTGGATCGCAAGACAAGATGGGGACACTTCCACTCCACACTAGACTACTGTCTGCCTTTTACAGACTCCCTCTCTAGTACATAAAAAGTGCTGTTTCAGGGCTGTTCACATGGTTGTGTGTTTGTGGCTGAGTGAGATGAAGTATTGCAGTCACAAGAAGTGGCTCAGCAGCATAAGCTCTACAACACTCTACAATGAAGGTCCTGTTCAGGCTGAGACTAGGGACATTGTTACGCAGCAGCACACACATATGTAGCCCGGGGGACTCTCTGGGAGTTGAAGAGCCCGAAGCACTTTAACAACAACCAGTCATGCAGGTTTGCTAGCATTCTTCACCTTGTGAATCTAAATAGAGGGTGGGGTCAGGTAAGCCTGCATACAAAAACTTATGAGAGATAACATTTGGTCATGCCTCCAAACAGTAGAACACTGCAGTAAGACAGTACTACAAGCAGTGGTATAAATACTCTGGCTTCTACACAGCCTGACAGAACTAATCAGTCTAAAATATAAATGAGTAATGGGTACTGTTTAGACTTATGATCCAAAAGTTAAAAATATTAATAATATTAATAATAATAACAACAACAACAACAAGAACAACAAGAACAACAAATAAAAAAATAAAATAAACAAGACAACACTGATTACAATGAACAGATGAGAATGGTGTGTTCCAATTTGTGGGAAGAAATTGGTCCCGATAATTCAGCCAATAGCAGATGCAAACCATGAGAAATGAAGGAAGTGGCTCCAGCCTGACTCGCTGGTTGTGGGCGGGCAGCGGCACACTTATCACTCAGCAGACTGGTTCCAAACAGGAAGAGCAGCAAGATGAGGTCTGCTTCCAGAGTTTTGCTAAACTTCCTCTGGGGAGACTGTAGGTTACTGTTAAATGTCGACTCCCTCCTCCTTCTTCCTCATTCTAATAATAACAACTGCAGAGCTAAGACAGTCCACGGTGCAGAGCAGGAGCATCAAGTCACTCACAAAATGGAGACTTGTGTTACAATTGAGCATTTAAACAGGATGTGTCAGAGTGCTTGCTAAGCCTATAGAAGAAAAACAGACCTGACCACGCATTTGCTTGAAGTCCAACACAGCCCAAATAAATGTATCAATGTGTTCACTTCCTTTGTTTGCTTAGGATGTGGACAGGATAACAATAATCTTCAGAGTGATGACACACTGCTGGCAAACACACCAAAACTTCAGCTTCCTTTCACTGACAACGGCAATACTTTAACTCTATTTTTAAAAGTTAACATGTAGCAGAAGCAATTTCTCTGTCCCATTCACCAAGTTAAACCTGGTTTGCATTGCATCAGCAAAAGAGGGAAAGGGACACATACTCTCCAACTCTACTGCAGCACATAGGGAAGGGAAAGAAAAAAGAAAACACAAACAAACCCCATTTTCATCTTGTAAGGAAACTAAACCTGAGGTGATTTATTTGTATGTGCCCTGCCTTTTGCAAACAACCTTATTTAGGGTTATAGGGGGTTGGCTGGTGTATTCTCTCAGGAAAAGTACAAAGGAGAGAAGCACAGGTATAGGCATGTTTGTTCACTGTGATCAGCCTTCACACTTGGAGGGGGCAGGGAGCTGTGCCTCGCCAGGGGGCTGGAGGGGGGAGATTGGAATGTGACCGCGGAATGCCAGACACTCTGCCCAGACGGAATAATTACAGATTCCAGCAAGGCAGGGCTCCATAACTCAGTGTCATCATTACCACAGCACTTTAAATCCAAAAACAGAAGTAGTTAAAAAGAAGAAACAATCTCATCTGGAGTTAAACCCTCACTATTAAGCAGCAATCATTAAATCGTGTATTAGTGCACATGATGAAAAGAAACAGGCATTACTGAAATGAATAGAGGGGGTGGGGTGTGTCCCATGTATTGGGGGTGTGTATAAGAGTGCTTGTTCAAACACTGTAAAGACCTTTGGCCGGGAGGATGGCTACAGATCTAGGTTGAGCTCAATTAGTCCACCTACACTGAGCTGCTCCAGGCAATGTTACCAAGGATTACAGCAAAAACAGGAATTTTAACAACCAGCAGCATGCTGAAGAAACGGTGTGGTTTCTTCCTGTCAAGTCTGCATGCACAAACATTCAGTTTCACAAGAATACAACAGCTCAGTGACTAATTTACAAGTCCAATTCTTGCTAAGGATTTAACATTAGATAAGACTTTGTGGTTTTGTTAGAGCAATGATGGTTACATAGCCCTGTAATTGAAACACAACTGAGCAACAACAAGAGTCAGGGCAGAATTCAGCTTTCCCACATTCCAATAAGACCAACAGACTATTAAGGAACACACAAATAAACAACAGGAAGTTTCATTTCAACAGCCACACAGGCAAACGGAGACAGAACAGGAAAACATGAAAGCCCCACCTCTGAGAATCTATGCTAACATAATTATTGAATAATCCGCTTCCACCGTCTTGCTGTAACCTCTGTGCTGACCATTCAGCTCTATTTCATGAATGTTTAAAAAGCAAGTCAGTCTTCTCCTGCAACTTCATTACACATGAGAAAAAGCTTTGGAAAGGTATTCTGTATTATGGAGGAGGCTTGCAAAGTGATACACTACGTGCCACCAGAGCTGGCTCAGTTCTTTGAAATTGTCACTGTATTCTGAAAAACACACCTTTGTACAATATTACACATTTTTCTCTCTCTCTCTCACTCACTCACTCACACACACACACACACACACACACACACCAAAAGTCACAACTATATATGTTACAAGACCATATTTGGACTTAAAAACACTACATACCAATTTCAGCAAGTGGGAGTCATTACTTATGCTGTAGTAAAGGAGTGCAATACTGTAAAATAAAAAAGGAAATAAGCAACCACGAGGAAGATGACTCAAAACTGCCTACCTTTGTGCCAGCTGATATGTCATGGACACTGCTGCAAAACAGAAAGAAAGTTCTCAGTAAGAAAATAAGGAAAACCATCCACAAACTATCCTTAAGTCATTGTTATAACATTCAACTGCATCGAAAAAAAAAACAAAAAAAACCCCACACATACACACACAGTCCTACAACACTGTTAGCCCAAAAGGAAAACGACTTCCTTATTTAAAGCCATAAAGAGCAACAGGAACCCAAATGAGTCGTACACAAAGACAAAACTATACAAAAATTTACTTACTCAATTTCAGGGACGTAGCCGGATCCCAGAGGGTACAAGTCAGCGTCTAGGCGGCTATAACGGTTTAAAAAGAGATGCAAGTAAACTTGTGTGAGTTAAAAAAAAATGAAAAAGAAAAACACCTATAATTACAACTAGACGCCGGGGGCGAATGCGAAGCTGTCTATGAGCTACTTTCGAAGTCCTTCAAACTTACGACATCAGACGATCAGAAGAGAAGGACACGTTCGAACTAAACAATACGCTATCATGTATCCTACTGCGATTAGATAACTCGGTTTAGAAGTCCCCGATTCAATCAAATGTTAAGGCCAGACATCTTCAACATGGCCCTGGCGCTCCGCGAACAAATGAACGCGGAAATGAGACACGTTGCTTTAGCTAGCGCTCGAGTTCCCGTGAAACCAAGTTACAAAGGTACCGTTAGCCAAAAACTAATGTCCGTCGTAGCAAACAAGAGGCTATCATTGTCTTCCTTAAATAAAGGCAAATGTTCCTATCACAACTCAAATTAAGTTGCTCTTGCTTAGAGTTACTAACGTTTACGATAATTAAATAAATAAAATAAGTGCATTAAAACATTCACATTAGTATTGACTGTTAGCCAACGCTAGCGACGACTAGCAGCTGCTAGCTAGCTTACGCTCCTGCTAACTGTTGCATGTTTTGATGAAAAAAAAACTGTTTGAAGTTAACTTTTCTATTTCGACGGTACGGTGAAGGTACTTCAAACATCACAATATGTCCATAAGCAACCGAAATAAGATAAGAAGTTACTCCGCGATCGGTTTGTCTTATAAATATAAGTGTTAAGTGTGGCTCTTTTCACTTACCCGTCCATTGCACAAGAAAAAAACTGCAGGTCTGAAGCGAAGGTAGGGCGGCAGACTTGCTTGGTTTTCTTACAAAATGGCTGAACACACGGAGGCGAGCGCTGATTAGTCCAGGAACTTCCAAGAGCTGAAAACGGGCGGTGACCTGAGCTGCGATTGGACAAGAAGGCTTTCATTTTGTGAAAAAACCAGGGCCGCGGCAAATTTCCAGTGCATCGTATCAGTGACTCTTTTAGGAGTTAGGAGTTTGTTTTGGCTGCACCCAGCTAAAAATACAGCCTAAAAAAGTGTTTTAGTTGTAAAAATCTACTCATACACAATTTCATCAAAAAGTGTTTAATAGTATACCCTAACAATCATACACACACGGCTGTTAACACACTGTTAACAACTTTATTAGGTTAACACGTGTAAGGTTTATGGTGTCCTAAATTAATCGTACTGTCAATTGCCAATATCATTTTCATGTTTCTGTAATAGTCAGTCCACCAGTATGCAAGCTTTTTCACTGCTAAAATATATTGATATTTTTTTACCAATCATTTTCAAATGTACTGTTCTACAGAAAAGCAGAAAAATAGTAGTAAATATTTCGATTCAGATGCCAAATTACAGTTAATTACTTGCACGCCTAAGAAGAAATAATTGTTTAATTATTAGCATCCATAAAAGAGCAGAGAGGACAGCAGCAAAAGCAAAGAGACTACATTTCTGAGTCAATATTGAGCCCACTTTGAAGGAAAACAGTAACAGTTAAGTATAGATATATTGTCAATATATAATGTGTAAAAGTAAAAGCAAAAAGGTGAAATCTCTCAGCTATATAGGTACTCTAATAAGTACCCCCCCCCCCACACACACACACACAAAGTTTAAAGTACCTAATAAGTGTATAAGTAAACAGAATTAGCTCTACTTTATTTAATTCATACAATATAGCAAATTGTCACAGTTGGTGATGTAGTATGTGCTTTGATTTGTTTCTTGATGGTTTAAAACATTGCTGCTGCATTGAGGTTTGCGTTTTAATTTCACGTTCATCAGTGGGATAAGTAGGGATGGCTTTACAATAAAAAGGGAGCTATGTTGTTTTATTATGTTCGTATACCTTTCCTAATGCGAGGCTCGTAATAGGATAGCTGAAGCATCCATTTACCCAACACAGAAGAAAGGTAATTACTGGTGACTGATAGCATGGCAGCAATTAGATTTTGCTTTGTCTTTAGTGTTGATTTGCAAGATGTATTTGCTCCATACTTCAATAGATAATTGCGTTAGAACTCTCTTTTACCATTTGATTTTATTTTCCATGACTTGCTATATCCTTCTGGTTCATTCAGGGACATTTTTTTTGTTTATGCTTCTGTCAGCAGTATAACCTCAAAACAACACGATAGTAAAATTTGTTTCATCAAAGGGAATACACTTCTAACAACCTCAAGAGCATTTTTAGATTTCAATTTATCTGATATAAACATTGTAATATATGCATGCAGGATAAAGCAGGACAATTATAGTTATGCTGAATAATGCATACTTAACCCTCTACTTATGAGTGCCATTAAAATGCATCCAACTCTTCCTAGAGTCCCTAATTAACCCTCTTTCTCTTTCCCTCTCTCCCTCACACACACACACACACACACACACACACACACACACACACACACACACACACACACACACACACACACACACACACACACTTAACAGAATTTATTACAACAGTGTAAAATGACGAAATTAAAAGATAGTAGATGTATGCTCCCTAGTGGCATGTTCTGTGTAGTGCACACTACAAAATTATGACGTCAGAAGACAGAGAAATTAAAATCCCGCATGCTCAGACGACTTCAGCTGTCTAAATCACACCTTTAACTTTATTTCTTCTTGCTTCATATTTTTTTTCATTAATGATTGTTCAATTTCATCTTCTTGTTTCTTGATTTTTCTACCCACTTAGCCCAATAATAAATAGATGGTTTATCTCCTCAGAAGGGTGTCCTGTACTCATATGTGCCTCCTTCAAATGGCAAAATCACACATTGTTCAGCTTATATTTGGTTACCACATACACACTCAATTTGACCTGCTGTAACAAACAATAGTTTTATTCAAGATTAAACATTTAGACGACCACAGAATAGATGAACAGGCATTGGTTTAACACAAGGTTGATTTTTCTGCTGCTGCCCCGGAGACCCACTATTAAGCAAAGCTTTAGCTCACCAATTTTATGCATTTCTATCTATACAGATGCATACAGACATACACATGTGCATGTATTGTATATACATAAGCTATCAGTTAGTCTTCTGTATAAAGTTTGCATCCCCAGATAATGTTAAACATCGGATCAAGGTTGGTTTTGATTAGAGTTTCTTGCATTTTTGGAATTAAAAAAACCAAAACAAAAAAACCCAACAACAAATAAAAACCTTTAAATCTGTCAGTTGAAGTGATGTCATCAACTTTAAAAAAGTTCATAAGACGTGTTACAAAGTTTCTTGGAGACTCTAACAGTAGTTTGCATATTATCAATTGTCCTAACCGTGTTCATTTATAGTTATCACTTAAAGAACGAGTGTAGTATTCGATATACTAGTGACACTTCATAGTAGAAGGCAGTGTTTCCAAGTGGGTCATCGTAACCAGGAGCACAGCAAGAAAAACCCTGGTCTGAAAATGGCATCAGACAGACAAGTCCAGTCAAATGAACCTGACAAAGGCACCGACAATACACAGATGTAGTAATCTTTTTTGTTTTTTAAAAATACACACATCAAATACGACATACTGCCTTGCAAAGAGACCATAGAAAAAAAGGATGAGAGGCAATATAAGAAATAAAGTTGTACAATTATTTTTGAACTATACATAGACTATAACTTATCCATGCCTGTTGTCTTCCCTCTGGAATGTAAGAAGGGATCATTTCTCTGATGTTAAAAATAGGCAGGACTTGAGAGAATGCATCTGGCACTGAAGGTTGAAAAAGACTCTTATTCATCAAGCAGGCGACAGTAGAATCCCTTTACCAGCAATTTGAGTAAGACAGATGGGACAGGTTGAACAATAGTTGGTGGATGAAGAGTTTTAGAGAAGATTTTGGATTAGCACCAACTTCAGAGATTTTTTTTTTTGTTAACTGCGTGTCTCCAAGCATAGAAGGTGTGGCTATGATTTGACAATAACAATGAAACAGTATAGTAAGGAAATAATGGTGATAACATTTAGGTGATTCAGTGACATGGATGACCCTGGGGAAGGAGAAGCATTGGCAGTACAGTTTACTGACCAAGCTCATCCAGAACTGCATATGTCTGCCAAACACATCAGATTTTTTTACTTTGAATTGCTATAATGTACATGCATATTTTGTCTACCATTAAATGTGGCTGAGATGCTTTTTTTCAAGAATTTAAACTATCTGTAATAGTGGAAGAAAGCTAAATGCTTGGATACCCGGATAAAGCTGAAGTCTTTATAATGTGTCCAAAGATATAATTAATATTTGCAAAAAATCTACTCAAATGCCCTCATTCTCTTTTCTTCCTCTGTAAATCTACTCAAGCACAATTAGGCCCAGGTGTACAAACAAAGAATCAGGGGTTAAACTGGGAGTATAAGCAGAACAGAAACCACCAGCCAACCAAGACACAGTGAAATGACTGATTCATCAAATTTTATTTGGTACATAAAAACAAAAAGCTTTTTTTTAATAGTGAGCTGAGCAAGCCCTCCTCTTCTCATTATGCTAGGATGAATCCCAGTTTAACCCCTGGATTTACATTCATGTTAATGTGATAGTGTATGCTACAGACCTAACAAGAGACAAGTTGAAACAGTTGCAAGGCTTCATGCAGTGCTACCTCATTAAGACATACATTGATTCTACTGTTGTAAGAAGAAAATTACTTAGGCCTTCCTAAACACTGTGTAATGATCTCATGAATCTAATCATAAAGTGATTTCATCTTACAGGCCTTTTCTAAAAATGTTGAAACACTTCTTCAAAAAGTAAATAAAATACAATGCAATGGAGAGCAAATTATTTGTATCCTTTTATTTGATGTATAATAGATCAATTGACGTAGCTTTGTTAGCAAAATACGGCAAATGTTTTAAATTGAGTGACACGTCTAGATGCACTTTAGCACCGGGACTCATCTCCTTTGTAGTAAGCCCATGTTATTGTTATATGTGCACAATGTGTATTGGCAGTGTTTTGCAGAAATAAGCAAGGACTTCCTTAAAAAAGGTCTCGTCTAGATGGGAGCATATGGTACTCCAATATCTGTAGATATCATTCAGCATTAATGGTGCCTTCACAGATTAAACAAGCCATGTGCAAAAAGCACTCCATGTTACCAATTATGGCTTTTAATTGTGAACAGATTAATACATTCTTTCAACTTTTCCTTGTATTGTTGAACTATTTGACTATGCAGACTTTTACAGAGTGGTGAACCCCTCTGCATCTTCCCATCTTTTACTTCTAAAGGAAATGGGCACTTTTTTATACCCACTCATGTACTGTTTAACCGTATATTACAGTCAAATTGAAAATGAGAATACATTTTCAAAAATACAATCATATTTTTTTAACCTTTTTTATGGTTTATTATTCAGTAACTGTACAGTTTTTATGACTTGCAAATCATTGCATTGGTTTTATTTACATTTTGCACAGCGCTGCAACGTTTTGAGAAAGAGAGCTGCATTCAAAAAACACAACAGCCGTGATCTTAATGTACATGTGCCACATACAGTACGAAACTATTGTGATTTGCAACCTAGTTAGTGATCATATTTATCTTTGTCTCCTTGCTGTATTTTTCGACATAACGCATATCTCTAACAATGCCAATTATACTTACTGTTACTGATAGAAAGACTTGCGTGACTAAAGATATGAGCACGTATGAGTCTAAGAAAACACAGACACTTGTATGAGTGTGACGCGACTGTGGTAGTGCTTACAAGCTTACATGCAGTTAATGGTTGAAGATGATACAGAGAACCAAAAACAATAAATACATTGTATAAAACATAATTTCATATCAATATATTAAAATACTATTTAAAATAATATCTTAGACAATATTGCAATATGAAATTGACCGATAAATAGCTGTTAGGCCTAAACAGAGAAATATATATATCTAAGTATCTGTGTCCTTCATAGTTTGCTTTTTTTTACTTAAATGATTTAAAGTTTCCAGATTTTCCCAACTGAGTAGCAGTACAGTCCAGAGAGCTAATACATTTTCTTTTTTTCCCAACAATAGTAACAATGAACTTACAGTACACAGTCCCATAATAAAGTTATACATACTGAATACAATATAAATGTCAAGACAGAAAAATAGAAAAATATCAATAGAAATCAAAAGTCAAATACATATCAGAGAAAGAATATAGAGTAAAGTGTACTTATGAGTCTTTGTGGTTCTTGTTGTAGCTGGAGCTTGGATTGGCTCTCATTGTTGGTATATTGGCTGTGCAACTTTTTGTTTTTTTTCCCCCAGTCCCGATACACACACTTTCACACAAAAACAAAAAGTTACACACATTTGCAAATACAGACACATGCAATGGCACACATGCCTGCAAAGGTGAAAGTGTGTACACACCCACGCGCACATACCCCTCACATGACCGTGCAGCATTTGCAGGTCTGTTTCTTCTCCTTTTCCTTCTCGCCCTCCTCCCCACCTTCATTAGGCTTCTCTTTTTCTGCCATGCTTCCGTTAGGTGGAGGCTGCTCTTCTGTGGCTGCGTCTCCGCCCGCTTTCTCCTCCCCATCCTCGATCACAACAAACTCGGCTTTGACATTGCCATCCACCCCGTCCATTCCTAAGGCCGTGCGAGTCTCCTGTTCCTCCTCCACGGTCTTGTAGCCCATGAACACTAGAGTAACTGGGTTGTCTGCACTAGCCTGGTCAGGACTAGGGCCGAGCAGCTTGGCCTCAATCCCTGTCACCTCTCTCTTGGGTGTCTGACCAGAGGTCTGCACTACTCCATTTTCACCTATAGAGAGCACCAAAGCATCGTTGAGAGATTAGGGAAGTGCATGAGAAAAGAGCGTGGTCAGGGTCAGACAGTAGGACAAAGAAAGAAAGGAAATATTGTTTAAATGACCTCCGGCATGGAGAACTGATTTAACAGAGTAAATCAAGAGGTTATTATGAGCACACTTTGTCTTTGTGACACTTGCGCTCAGGCTGCATTGCCATGGTTTCCCATGTGATGATACAATATGTTGCCATGGGCACCAAACTTACCTCCATTTTCTTTGGCCACACCCTTATTGGCTGGTACGCCTGTCTCAAGTTCTTCAATCTCTTGCTCAAGCCTGGCTCGGAAACACACACACACACACACACACACAAAAAAAAAATCAAAAAAAATCTGTGGATCATTCATGACCACAAATTGTATTATATTTGAGCAAACTCTGAGTGCAAATCAAAGCACCATTAAATCACACTGCTACTGCTACTCCTGGTTTTTTAAATATTGTAGCAATTTACCGGTTAATTTCAAAATAAAAGAATAGCAATGGATAAACTGCTTCAAAAATTAAACATATGGGGGATTTAAAATGCTCACCTGAGGATGACTTGTTCCAAAAGTTTGGTCTTCACCTCGTCCTCCTGCAGACGCTTCTGAGTCTCCTCCTCTGCTGGAGCTCCATCTAACAACCAGCGCTCTCTCAGTGCCTTTGACTGCAAGGATAATATAGATGTTGAGAACACAGATAGAGTGTAGGTAATCCAGACCATTTAACTTACGTTCTATAAAATGGATCTAGCAATGGTAAGACAAGGAATATAGTTTTACTGTGTATGTACTTGATGTGTCCATGGGTGTTGATGCATTGGTGTGCATGCTTGCTACATTGAAAGGATCTTATGGAAGATCTTTATGCATACATTATGCACAAATTGAGTAGTTAAAACGTTAGAAGCACCTCAATTTCTCCACATGCTGCACAGAGTCAGCCTCTCTTTGGACATCGATGTACTTTCTTACACAAGAGATTAGTGACACCATCTCTGACACTAATGATGAACTCTTTAGTTAATCTAAAGCAACAACATCTTCTTGCCAGGCAGTCTCGTACTTCTCTGCTGACTGCTGAAACTCAGGGATTCTGTCAAACACTTTAACTGCTGCCAAATAGTTTGCCAAGTGGACTAAATGGCACCCGGCCAGTGGATCAGGACTTCTGGTATCAAACTGGGAAATCCAAACATTTATTTAATATCATTATACTAAATTAAAGACAGGAATGAGAGGTCGCTGGGAGATTAAAAAAAAAGGAAGTGGCTCTAATCTTAAACTAGATCAAATATTTCTTAGGGCTTAATTCATTCCAAGTAATATCTTTATGAACAAGCTTAGAAAACTAACAGTGACTACTATTATTCCTTATTATTTTCCAACCAGGCCAGTATTCTTATCTTCAATCCCCATCCATCCTCTGGATGAGTTAATATCAAAGCAAATACTTGGCGTGCTCTGAGGTAAATATAACAGTGTGTCTTACTCGCAGCTGTTGGACCATGCAGCAAAAGACAACCCTGCCTGACCATATGGAAAAGTGTTAGAAAAAAAAGCTCTTGTTTTCACAAGTTAGGCTGAAAATCTGGACATGTGCTTGATGCGAATTCCTCTCCAGTGATGCAACTAGAATTTCTACAAAAAAACAACCCCCCCCTTCCTCCTTCGTGTAGCATATGCCTCTTTGCCCATCCTAAATTTTAGGAACCTAAAAAGGGTTGTAAATGTCAGGGTGTATCTCCCTCAATTTATATCTGTGTTTAAATTTTTTTATCTGCTGTTCTGTTTAAAATCTTACCCTCTCCACTGAGTAATTCAACTTCAGACATCCAGCTGCAGAGCTTTAGAGCACACATTTAACACTGTGTAATTCAACACTCTTCATTCCACAGTCCTGCATGGTCTCTTGGGCACTGAATCTAAACCTGCTTTGCCCTCTTACTACTCTCTGAATCTTGCTTGCTCTCGTGAGCCACACCCTACTACGCCAGTGCCTGACATCACTTTAATGTGCTCACTCTTGCATATGGAAGCACTCACACACACACACACACACACACACACACACACACACACACACACACCAGTCAATGTGAACAGTTGAAAAGCTAGGAATGCTGAAGCAATGTCTCTCCATTGTTCTTTGGAGTAAAAGCTGCTAACGTAGCAGACAAAGGGCGGAACTGGGATACAGACATACGCACACGCAGGCAAGCATCCATCCACACATGGATATGTTATGAACAGCTGGAAAGAGAAGAAGCTTATTTCAAATCACATTGTGCATCTATTCAAAAGTCAGTTTTGTCAAAATAAAGTTTCTCTGGTCCGTGTAGCATAAATGTTTTTCGTCAAACATTTCGTCAAATTTACATTTTTTTTCTTTCATTTTCATTTTGAGCTAATGTCTGTGGTATAATAGAAGGATGGCGAAAGTGACTTAGCGGTCCAAAGCTTAAATGTTGTACTTTTAGCCTTTGTCTCTTGTACAGGTTAAGCAAATGTCCTTGGTAATTAAATGAATGAGGTTTAGATGTGGTTTTAAAATTAAATGCTCGCTTGCCGCAGCTGTATTATTTATGTTTTTATGAATAAGAAAATGACAAACTGCTCCTTTCCCAACTTTGTAAAAGTCTGTTAGCTGTGAGTGCTAATTGTTTTATTCTGAAAAATCACAACTTGTATACACCATGTTGACATTTACTGACTGCTGACTCCTGTTAGCGTAATCATATCTCACCACATTTTCTGTGTTAACAAGTCTGTGTACATATATGTGTGTGTGTTTAATCATGTACTGGTGTGATTTAATGGTGGGGTACATGCCTAAAAAAATGTACTGCGTAAGCAAAGACGTTCATTAGGATTTCCACATCGGTCTGCCTCTGAGTCAAGAATACTTGCTGTGGTCCACACAAAGAGCCTTCTAACAACCCTGGACAGCATGATTACACTTCCCCTCTGTGTGTGTGTGAGACGAAAGTGGGGTGCGGTGGGTGTAAGAGCTGTTTCCTGTTGGTGGGAGTGGGACAAAAATCTGTTTCCTCTGCTAAAGCCCACTGCATTGTCTGAAGCTTCTGTGTTCTTTTATGAAGCAACCTACACACAACTGGACGCGACATGTACAGATACACACTTACAATGATTTGCCTGGAAAATAGAAAAAGTGGGAGCACACAGGGACAACAGTACAGGTCACTTTTAGAAACACACACACACATACTCGTGTGCACATGGCAAATACACACCTCAACCTTTGCTCTTATCTGTGACCTGCTGAATTGTCGGTGGCTGAAATAGCTTTGATAACGCTGACACATACGCTGACAAAAACCTTGGCTCTGATATAATGAGTGTGTGTCTACATGCATGAGTGTGTGTGTGTATAAACAGCATGTGGAGGAGCTTTTGGTATTATCTGTTATCCATTCTGAACATTCCGTGACAGCAGCAGTTGGGGAGTATCTCACTATGTTGGACAGATATATTTGAAGGGAACTGCTGATTTTAATGTTGTGTGGGTGTCTAACGTTGCTCACACACGTAAGAGCATGAATCCCAGAAACACGCAGAGGGCTGACCGGCAGTGTTTCTGTTAGCTTGTTAGAAGTTCTGTGAAGGGAGAGGCATGTAGGAGTACAGATGACACATACTGTACATTAGTTTTATCAGTGGAGAGCTCGAGTGCATTTCAAACAAAGCCAAACTGGCATGTTCACGAAGGATGAGCAATGTGATGCTGGGGTCAAATATCCCAGTTTATGCACTGCAAGCACTCTTTTGGTAGCAGATGGAGGAATTCACAAGTGTAGATGGGAGGTGATAGTATTAAATAATAACATTTAAACATGTGCAACAAAGATAATTAGTACTATGACTACTGTGACTGCAAAACAAAAAAAATCTATTGCTCAGGTTCAACTAGCTCTCAAGCTTCTCTGTGTACCAACTGAATTTCATTTGCTTACTTCAACAAATGAAATAAGAATACTTGATATACAAATACACATAAAAAAAAGGTGGATGGATTTCTTTCCTGGAAGAAATCCAACAAACTCAATATGTGCCTACACAAGGTGGAAAAACAGTTAAACTGGAAACATGTGGCCAGCGGCAAGAGAAGCAGGGGAAACGTGCTGATGAAGTAGTGAGCAGGAGGTAACTGAGAGTGCGCTGTGCATACTATGAGATCAATGTGTTGTGGACACCAATACTTGTGTGTATTCTTGTCAGCCACCAAGTATTCTTATGGGATACGTGGAAAATGTGTATGCCCGTGAATGTGTGTGTGTGTACCTTGAGATGCTGGAGTTGCCGTCGGTCATCATCCAGCTGCCTCCTCTTGTTTTCAATCTCTGTCTGCTTCTTCCTTTTCTCCTGTTATGATATACATGCATTAAGATTGGTAGGAAATGCACAAATGCATATTACAAAGATTAGAAATAGAAATAATATCATAATTTTAAAGAACAATATGAACTATATATTTATTTATGCAGTACTAGTGTGGCAACCAAGGAATTTTGGTAACTTCAAATAAATAGAGCTGCATATACGGCATCTTTAGTAGTCAACCAATATATTTTTTATATACATACCATTGACCGTTGACCATAGGCATAGGAATGTAGTACTGGCATTAAACTGATATTATGTAGTAATATAAATGTGTTTCCCTATATCTGCCACAGGTAAAATAAAAAAGAGATTGCAATATACAAAGTTTAGCTAAACAGACACCTGGATGTTAAAACAGAAAAGGCAACAAGTGACAATAAAACATTTGTGAAGTATAAAAGATGAACAGAGACAGAGGAACAGACAGAAAAGCGCAGTGAGCTGTAGCTACTATATTAGCTTTTGATGTCCTCTAATGGATGAAGGAGATGGGATCTAAAAGGTTGAGTCATTAAGACTGGCAGTCAGACCATGACGAGCAGCAATGATTTGTTGTTTCTTCAGCCATCAGTGTGCATGATGTGCACTCTGTGTGTGTGTCTAAGTGTGCGTATGAAATAGAAAATAGAAAGCAGAATGTGTCTATGTGTGTAGATAACTTACAGCGATGGCCTGGAGTCTCTCCTCATGTGACACCTCAGCCATCCTGATGAAGGACAGACAAGTTAAGGGGCAGCATGAGAGAGAGAGAGAGAGAAGGGAGGAGGGGGAGGGAGTAAGAGTTACGTCTCATAATGACCAGCGACATCAGACATTAGACACAGCATCAAGCAATATTCTGTGACCCCTAGTTTTTGCTCACCGGTCATTTACCTTCCAGTGATTTCTCAGTGACTGAGGTTAAATATCTTTCTGTTTGGCACTAAATCAGAGTCTCTTTCCAGTCAGGAAAAGTTGGTGCAGGCATGCTAATGTGCAGCGAGGGCTCTGCTGGAGATTCCTGCTTTAATAGGTTCCAGACAAGAGCTTCAGGATGGAGGATGGACAGATGAAAACTTAAAGCCAGAGGAAAAGACTGCACACTGTTGCTTAACGGAGATAGGATAAAGCTATTGCTATGAAAAAGTGATAAATCCTGCACTGAGTTCCACCTTTTTCTGTAGTAAATAGTTGAGATTATCAGATCCAAAAGGCAGCACTTATCGTGACCTCTAGAGCAAATTAAACATAGAGATAAATTCATGATCCCAGACTGGAAAATTTTAATTTATAAAGACTATATAAGACAGAATCGACTGGGTACAAGAATTCAGTACAAGGATTTTAGTATGCAAGCTATAGACACCTTCACTAACAACTGTGAGTGCCATATGGGGGTATTATGACGTTGATACATTCATATACTATATTTAACCCTGACTACTTTCAGCTCTCTAAGGACAACATGTGTTATGTGACAATAATAGCTAATGTCTCCACATATGTTTTATTTTGGTAAGTATTATTGTGCTGAGAGGGAATTATATCTCTTATAACTATGTCTAATGTATTGGAATATAATCTTCCATTTAAAAATTACAACTAGTCCATTAATTCTTACATTAAATATAACATCTAGGTGAGAAAACTACTGTTTTAATAAATGCGAGATTTGATTTATGCGACTGTAAACGGATGATACAGTTCTGGCAATTTGCTAGTTTTATTTGTTTGTATTCAAGCAAAGTCTCAATCTCCCCAGGAGTGGACGTATACAGAAATTCTGAAGGTAATGTATCTAAAAGCTAATGGCTGGCCAAAACTGGGTCGTACAACAGGACAATGATCGCATGTACACCAGCAAAACTGCAGTGGCCCAGTCCAGACCTCAACCCAACTGAAATGCAGGACTTTAAGAGAGCTGTGCATAAATGAATAAGAGCTTTGAAAAGAAGAATAGACCAAAATGTCTTCACAACAATTCAAAAGACTGATGAAGTCATATACAAGATCTACCTGCTCTAGAGGTGTTTCTACAAGCTCTCAAATCCTGGGATGAACTCAGTTTGTCACAGGACTGCATAGAGTCCTTTGTAAACCTTCATTTGACTCTATAAATGATGGAAAATGAGGACAAACACAATATGTCTCATTTAGGTTTTAGACAAAATGACAGATTAAAATATTTTTGTAAAAATCCACTATTCAGGAAATCAGCAGGCAGGTTAATCAATGTTAAAAAAATATATGATAAGTTGCAGTCCTAATTAAGAATTACATCCATAGGGCAAACTAATGACTTTTTGGTTTTTCATCTCTAATTTAAATTATTACTATTATGTAAAAACATTTAAAAGGTGACATTTAAAAAGGTGATTCACATAAAACCTTAAGGGGAAGTATGTCTCTTTCGCCACATAAAATGACACCCCTGCACAGATATAATTTGCTATAATAGCAGGAATCTTTAGACACATTACAGTGATCAAAGTAGCCCAAGAATTAACGTACTTATTAAATACAGGTTCTGAATGACTTGGTGTCAAATTATCCATTTTCTCTACTCCCAGAGAAGAAATTAACTTCTCTGAATCTGACTAGAGTTTCTGGTTGCTTAAGTGTTTGATGGAGAACAGAAGAATGGTGTGCTCTCTCTAGACCAGAATGAAGCTTTACCACAACATATATGGGCTCATCATCTAATCCAATCTTTTTAAAAACAGCTATAACAAAAACAGCTGTCAACCTAACCTACAGCAAGGCCAGTAACATTTCTAAAATTGTTTGATTGCGTTGTTGTTGATGAGGAACGAGGAACAGCATCCCTGCTCGTAGCAGATTGTATCATTTCTCAGCTTAGTACATACAAAGGTTGGATTGTGAGTGGAAAAATGCAGCATATCACCAGTTCACATCCCTCCTATCCCACCCTTTTTTTGCGGCTGCATTTTTATTTCCCACACAAAGGCATGCAGGGTAGCAGCGCTGACCTAAAAAAGATAAAGAAGCATCTTTTTTCATGCTCAGTGTGCAACCATTGACCCTCTAAGACTTAGGCATGCATGAAGGTCAGTCTGTAACATGTCCAATTACTGTCTTTCCTGTGCATTTACACACATATAATCAAACAGCTCACTTCTCTTCCATTCCCTCTTCTGTTTTTCCATCGAGCCACATCACCATCACATGGAGACCCTTGAGGGGGAGAAAGTAAGTACCACAATCATCTGATCACCTCCTGAAGTACACACAAACACAGACATATTGTACCGTCTAGACACATTTTCCCAACTTTTGCCTTTCCCCAGTGATCCAGACATGTGGATGTACTGAAACAAATCAGCTTTTATATGGCTTAATGTGGTAAGATTGCACTCTCAAAAATAAAGCAATTCTTAATTTTGCTTATAATTGTTTGTTTAGAACAAAAAAAAAAAAAAATAAACAACGTTAAAAGTTTTTTTTGGCGTCGTTATATAGCGCATTTTTGTCCTAAGCCTTTGTCCCTTCCCATCCCTCAGGTTATAGTGGAAGATGGGCCCTTAGATTAGTGCACATCTGGAAACTCATCTGAATCATTTCATCGGTGGAATTTGACCAGGGAGGAGCAGCTGACCTCTGTCGTTTTTAAAGGACCAAACATCTTAATGTGGAAAAGGTCAAGGAGCAGGTCCCACCCGCAGCTGAACTTGACAGCAATTATGCAATGAACACATTACCACTGTTTGATACATTTGTTAAAAATGCAGGATAGAGAGACCATTCACAGCTTCACATTTAGAACACCTGAAATGTGCCAAATCACCAAGAACTTTTTGCAATTTCAACTGCTTTTTAGTCACACAGAAATGTAGTTTTTGTTTTTATTAAGTAATTATGCATAACAGTTTTTGGACATAATCTTACTATGTATGTGTAAGTTACAGACTTTTATTAGCAATGTGCTGATCAACCAGCTAGGGACTGAAATCAGTCAATTTTCAGCATTCTTGGCTCTGATTGGTGACCGGCTGGTCAGCCTCATCTATGTCAGATTATGCAACATGCACACTGTGGTGCAGGCAAATGGTTGCATTCACATTCTAACAGGTTGTTGGAATGAAAGCTCTTCACTATAAGTTAAGACACAAAGTGTTAGAACAGACCTAATGAGACACGTAATCTTCACCCAGATGAACATGGACAATTTAAAGAAAGTAACAACGCTGCTAAAGCTTCCCAGAGCTCAAAGCCAAAGGATCAGAGCAGTTACAAGGAAAAATTATAGAGACAAGAAAACAGAAAGGGGCTGACCTTTTATCTGGTGAAATTATAAACATACTGGAAAATTATTTAAGTAAATGACCTTTGTTATGTAAATCTGTTAAACGTTCTTTTGTTTAACAGCTTAACAGTTATTTGCACCTCTTTATCAGAGCACTTTATTTTCATTTACTTCAGTTGTTTCAGTGACAGGACATCCTGCAACTTACTCAAATTTTGGGGACACTATAAAGTTGAATCTTTTTTGTTGTTATGAAAATAATATTTAGCATTGAAGAAAAGTTTACTTTTGTTTGAATACGCTGTCATTTATAGGTTTTACAAAAAATGTGAAATTAGTAGCTGGAAACTGAAGACTGGAAGTGATACATCTCTTAATTTTTATGCACTTAACTCTTGGAAATTAGCTGGCAGTTAGCATTTCTAAACAGCTAACTGAGCATTAGCATTGCTAATAGACTTCTCTAAGTTCTTCTGTATTTCCCTGTTTCCTTTTTTATTTTTGATGCTCTTCCTTGTAATTGGCTTCGTTGTAATTATCCACTTGTTTACTAATTAGGTTACTATTGAGCGATTAGACCATTTTTTTCACATTGTTTGCCATCCATTCGTCTTGTTGACATTTGATCCATTTCAGTGTTGCACTGTCCAAAACCGAAACTGAAAACAAATTTATCACATGAGCACTACATAAGCGCACCATCTTAATAAGAGAACCATGTGATTTTCTATGGCTGTGATTGCCCCGAGAGCTACAGCTGCTTTAAAACATTTAATTTGCAGTTAGTATATTAAACATCAGCACGTAATATAGTTACATCAGTTTCCATCACGCTGTCCTAGCTGCAGTTCAGCTAAAGCACACTGTAAATAAGGTTAGCTTTGCATAGATAAGTGTAATGAATTTTAATTTAAAAGTTGTACAAAGGTTGTATTATGCATTTATCTAAACACAGGATGGCCTCAATTGTGATACAGATATTCTGCCCATGTTTTAGTTACAAAGACAAGAATTATGTGTGGACTTTGCTTCTATCCTGCCAGTATTCATGTAGTGCTTTTTATTTGGGAAGTTTCATTAAAGATAATTTTTTTTGCTCAACTGACTACCAAGTTGTGAATGTGAAAACGTAAATACAACAAAAATCTAAAATCCAGATTTAGTCAGATGGACATGATATCAGGTGATATTAAAAAGTACTGATAACAATCCAGTCACTGTCAGGTGCATCTAAACATCTACATTCAACAACAGTGAATAATGCTTACAATCTTGTGCATGCAAGACTTAAAGGCAACAGTCCAAAACCAAATGTAAGCGCTAGTCCTGATTGTCTAACCTCTGGAATAATACTGCAATGAAATTTTAAGGACATATTGGAAAACTGTGTCTACCTTGTTGGAACACTGGGGGCCTATGTCCTACAGCCTCTCTCATAAATTATTGACGCACAGGGAGAAAGG